AAACCTAACACCACTACATATATTCATTCAAGGCGAAGCCAGGTCTGTCACATACAGACTGCACAAAGGTTCATCGCCCATAAGCAGTTTGCATGGACGCGACTACAGCGAGCTATATAAAGAGTTGGAGAACGACCAAATAATGGGAATGCCTTCAGACGAAATGCTTCCAAAGTATAGCTTTCAAAAGCAATATAAAGTAAGTATACCAGACAGGGAAGCGTGGACGGGAGGACCTCCTATTCATGCAGATCTCACCTGGTATACAGACGGCTCCAAAACCCATGAAGGTTCAGGAGTAGGTATATATAGTACCAAGCCAAAGACAGGAATCTCACTGAGCTTAGGTAAACATGCGACAGTATTCCAGGCAGAAATAGCAGCAATACATCACTGCGCAAAAGAAGTATTAAGACAGAAGGTAAATGGAAAAACCATTGTCATATACTCAGACAGTCAAGCGACGTTAAAAGCACTCAGTTCCATGCAGGTACACTCAAAGCTTGTGTGGGACTGTTTGGAAGCCCTAACAGAGCTGGGTAGTCAAAACAGACTAACCTTAGCGTGGGTACCAGGCCACAGGGGACACAAAGGCAATGAAGAGGCTGATTTACTAGCCCGAGAAGGAGCATCAAATGCTCTTATTGGCCCAGAACCCTTCTGTGGTGTAACAAAAACAACTATCAGAACATGCACAAAGCAGTGGATGTTTAAAAATCTCAGGAGTGGTGGGAAAACTCACCAGGACAGAGACAGGCCAAAAAGTTCTTAAAAGGACCATCGTCTAAACTCACCGAGCATCTACTAAGCCTTAATAGGAAAAATACTAGAATACTAGTAGGTCTATTAACAGGGCATTGTAGGCTTAACAAACATATGTTCAATATCGGTCTGACAGAAGAGGCCTTGTGCCGATTCTGTCAAGAAGAAGAGGAAACGGCAGAACACGTATTGTGCTACTGCGAAGGTCTAGTAAGACTGAGATTCCTTACACTTGGAGAAGAAAAACCAAGGGCAACTAGCTATACCGGAGAACTACTTTCCAGTCTATGGAGTTTACTACAAAAGACCGCATTAGACAAGGTACTCTAAACAATGATTAAAGGATATCCACAATAGATCTGAAAAGGTCGAGGTGGGGGAGGCCACATGGCCCATAGTCCTAATTAAATCTAATCTAATATAGTATTTGTCTAAAAACTTTTGAAAATGCGCATGGACGTTTTTGGAAAGGTTAGAACTCATCCATCATGGGGTCATTGCTTGGTTCAGTTATCATCATGGACCCGTGGCAACTTAAACATTGCGTATTTTTTGCACATGCTAGTTTTATTTGAAATAACAAGTTAGTGATTGTGGTTCAGCCAGAGTTCCGGAATATATTTAACCTCTATCGCAATGTATGTTTTTCGTAAAGTCGTCGTGGATTTTCAGCATCCCAATACCTACAACTCCTGCTTATTGACTAAACCGTTGAAGTGGAAATTGGCTTCCTTTTTTCATTTTCCCTATGGTTGCAAAATGTAATCATTGAGGGTAATCCATTCCATGAATGTCAGCAAACAAACAGCCTATGCTTTGCAAAATCGTACATTACGTAGAATGCCTGGCAGTTTTTTTTTATTAATGAACCGCTCGTTTGAAGATCTCTATCAATTAATTAAAAAAAAAATAACTAAATAATTCCAAAGTAAGACCATAAGCATTAAAGCTTTGCTGGAAAAATGTTATGAATGGTAAATACAATACCAATAAAAATTCAAAAAGTCTATGGTCTTGTTTTTGAATATCCTTTTAATTTTTATGTTGTATTTATGACTACGAATATTATAATAATAATAATATTAATATTAATGTTTATTGTTGATCAATAGTAGGAAAATCATCTTCTTTTAGACGAACTTAAATCAAAGTGTTTAAAAAAATGCCGGGAAGATAATACACTATGTTTCGTAGGCACCCTAGAACTCTATTTACAAAATTTATCCATTTCTCACGTTTTTCTGGTTCCCGTGAAAATATGCAATAAATGAATAAAATCGTTTTTATTCTGTAGGTACATAAATGTTGTATGCTAATTTAGAAAATTATTTTACTTATTCCTGTCAGTTATAAGAAATCTTTTAATTTAATTCCGAAAATTATATGAACATTTTTTTTACTGTGTTTATACTTATACCTATGAAATGTTACTTTTGAAATTTTCTTGTTTTCCACACCATTCCCACTTGTGCAATTGCGCTTGGCACACGACGCCAATGTTCTTTTAATGTTTTTGAGACGAATTGTTTATATAAACGTATATAATTAATTATAATGAAATTAAACAATACATTAAAATACAAACTGTCACAAGTGAAGGAAGTCTAGTATTAATATGGCCGCCGCGGTGATACTTTTGGTCACGTGATTGCGCCTCCTTTCCTATTTTACCTCCCATTTTTTAATTTAAAGACTTTATCGTAAGGAAAGATTTAGAAAATTATGTATTTATTAAAATCACTTAATCACCCTGTAGAATGAAAACTGGGACGTTATCAGGAAAATTATTGTAGCTTTTCTTAATAATTAGTTAAACTCTACAAATCCCCCAGTTTATGGTACTTTATTCTGAAACGCCCTGTATAAGTAAGTTAAATAAATAGTAGATATAAGTGATGAGTCGGTCGAAAATGTCCACAGATATGTCTAAAAAGGGCCCATGTCCAAAAAAACTTCAAATGTGAAGAAGAGTTGTGCACATGCGCGAAATTAAATTAAATAATTTGACTAAATTTCTTACAAAAAATGTAAAACAGTTTAAAAAGACACACAAATGCCTACTGACTTTTATATGTTTTAACGGTTTCCTGTTTAGTGGTTGAGATAATAGACTTCATATTTGATATGTTTAATTTTCGAATTTTCGTTTTATATTATCTTACAAAAACATAAACATGAAAAAAATAACCAAAATAAGCTTAGAAGCATTTTACAAATGATTTGTGATTTGTCTAAAAAAACGAAAATACAAATGCAACTATTATTCCCTACATTTTTGTCTATGCCCATGGAATATCAATTAGCAGTTTCTGGGAAAACTGTCCAAAAATTATTTCTCCGGAAAAACCCATCATTAGTAGATATTTACTAATGTCTTTATTCAAATATATTTAATAGTTGTGGATAAACGATAGTATTTTATTCGCATGTTTTACGCCACTGGCCTATGGCTCGTGTTTAATTCTCAAAATTTTAGGTTTACGTTGTTTTTTTTATTAATCAATCAAGGCTTGCGTTTAATGGTATTTTGGATATAAAAAGCTAAAAGCGGTTTCTATAAATCCAAGATGGTTGATATTTAATGCTTTTTAAATGTATAATGGTAGAATTATTATGACTTAGAGTAGATGGTTATGTCTTTAAATTTTAATAAATGAGTAATAGAGTTTAGACGCATTATTTAACTTTAAAATTAAATGTTTTATAGGCACAATCTTTATTTACCTACTTTCTTATTTAAATTTCTAATTTGATAAAATAAAATGTGTAAAATTTTCGAAATGTAATTATTGATATCGAACAAGTCAGAATGTTTTTGTCTTCATCTTGATTTTAAATGCGGTCAAATGCTTTAGATTAAAAGTGCTTAGTTTTTTATAGAATATGAATTTATATAGAAAATTGGTATATTATAAGCCTCTATACAAAAAATAGGTTATTAATCCCTATCATTCTGTAGTACCTGATTAGCTCTTAATACAGCCCAAATTACATGCAAATATAAATATTTAGTTGGCAACTTGAGTGCGAAGTTCCTGTACAACACGAGTTTTTACTATACTTGTTTTACAATCGCAATAAATAGATTCAAATATTTAATAATCAGACTTTATTTAATTGAGGTAGGTTTTCGAACGATAGCTTGTTGGACTGAATCTTCAGTTCAATACAGCACTTTTAATTATTAATATTCAACAATTATACCATGATTAAACCAAATCGATGCTAGCACAGTTATATTAATATCGCCTATGGGCAGCCATTTACCCTTCCTCCTGGATGCTATGATTCGCTATTTTAGACAAAAGCAGTAAGGCTTTTAAGTGTAAACATCTCGATATATCACATCAGAAGAATGACAATACATGTCAACATAAATCAGTGCAATAGACAGCTTGAAATCTGTAATATATAATTTTACAATAGTAATCATAGAAAACTATTGACATCAAGTAACTTAATTTTTTTTTAAATATTAGGTTTGATAACTTTTTTTTATGAAATATCCAAGCTGCGAGAAAATTACGTTTTAACTTATGTCTCCGCTGACAAGTCGAAAATAAAATTAAATAATAATTTTTGCAAATAATTTTATATTCAAGCATTTAAATTTGTATTGTCACCGAAAGTAAAATAATACGGAAAAAATGGTTAATGGGATACCTAAGAGCTGCTATCTAACGACAGCAAGCGTTGGTACCTTTCATATAATTATAATCAGAATGGCGGTACGTTGATTTGAATAGTTAATTTAATCGAAATATTACTACTGACTCACTACATAAAATAAGTGCTTAAAAACATTCTCTGGCTCCGGGCTAAGATGGACATTTGATCGCAGCATGGGTTTTTGCAAGTTTTACATATTCTTCGTAACTGTGATATTAATTGACTAGTGTAATAGCCACAGACAATATCTTTATTTTTCTCTTTTATAACTATTTTTTAGCACTTTAAAATTCATTTTTCTTATGAGGAGATCCCACACAGAACAACAAATAATTATTAATTCTTTTTCCTTGTTTATTTTATTGCTAAAAAATAGCATAGTTTTAATTTTACAATAACTAAGGTACGAAAATTGTATACTTATATTTTTTTTGGCCTTAGTTACGGAAGTGTAACCTAATTTTCAAGGTATGGGTGTATGGGATCTCTCGAAAAATAAATGTTTTTATTAATATTATAATTATTATGAAACAGCCATAATAGAAAAATCAACAAAGTCAATATTTCAGGAAAACGAGCAAGAGCGCTTGCTCAATCAAAAAGCTTTCCTGAAGAACGGCAAGTACGATAACATCTTCGAATTAAGTTACAAGAATGGAGCAGAGCATTGGTACTGTAAGGCCTGTGAGTGTCCAGTCATGGGGCGTGTTTTTCAACATGAGGCTGGGCGACGTCATACTCAAAACATATTTCAAACGCATCATAATATGGATAACTTTAAGAAAGATCCCAGTCCTGAAGAACCTGTCATTGTTGAGGTGGCGCCAGGTGAACCTTTGCCTCCTGGGTTTGAAGATGTTAGCAGAGTGTCTCAAATTCAGGTAAACAGAAATTCCACTGCAAAATCACAAAATATATTTCACATTTGATTTGGTTTGGGAACTGGTTAGTAACAGAAAAGTATTTTTGATTTTTTTTTTGTGTTAGCAGATCTTGAGGTTTTAGAAATAAAAATAAACATAATTTGTTCTAAGCATATGAAAAATATTAATAAAAAACAGTATAATATAAACACTTGAATAGCTGTTTGTCCATATTAAGTTTATCACATTAACATTGTAGTTTGAAGTAACACAAGTTTAGCGTAGAAAGAACCTAATTTCCCTAAACTTTCTTAGTTATAATTATGACAGTTAAAATCGTTTTTTCACCTCCTGAAAACTTCAAAACTGACTTGTTGTTTCTGAAATAAGCTGTTCAATTACAAATTATTTTATTGATAATAATATGAAGTCGTGGAAGTTTCATCTATTAAAGGTAAATTAGAAAAGATCGCAACATTCTGCATTTCACATGTTGCTACTTACAAGATTACTCAATTACGGCTGGGAATGTCTTAATCTTAATAGTTTATTTCTAAATTTTTAGCTTTAATGGTAGCCTAAAAGCTGGGAACTGAAATAAATTTTAGTACTCATTCCTATTTACTGATTGTAAAAGGAACAATAACTCTTGCGAGAGTGGCTTAATCTTTAATTTTATCTTTTTTGCCTAGATATCCATAAAACGGACAAATATAAAGTAGGTATATTCATCTGATAGCCACAATACCATTTACTCTCATCTGCATATTATGGATTGGTGTAGTTTAAATGAAATAGTCGGATATATCGTATAGATATTTCAGTCACAAGTAGCATGGAGTAATAAATATTTTATTCAAAATAGATAATAGATTAATTTTTTATTAATTTATGTACCATTTACTATTATAAATCTGGTACACTTATATGAGTGTTTCCGTGAAATGAATTTATTTTCTTTGTCTGTTGTATTGATAAAAAAAATTAAAACTACAGAATAACCCGACGTCGCCGTTTACCATTCCTTTTGTGGTATTTATTATGTCAAGTAAAGCTTGGGCATGGGAAATGAAAGTGTATAAAATATTTTGTAATGATCTCCAACTGATTTAAGAATGTTAAAAATAATCAATTAATTTTCTGTTGAAATCTTTCAGTTACCTTAACTAATTCAAAGCCAGAAATATGAATTTACTACGGCAATAGGCCGATAATAATTTCAATCTCGTTTGAATTTGAAATTTTGTGATTTGTGATAAATTTGGAAGTGGTGATTTGAGTTATCATAGACTTAAAACGTTTGTTTTAAAAATTAGTTTCCATTATTATTGTGTTATTAAAATAATTCTCAAACCAACAATATTAGTTTATTAATTTCAGTTTTATTAAATGCTTTTGCGGCCACTTTAAAACGCTTGTTACTCATTGACAGATAATATATTTTGTTTACTGCAAATCAGGGAATATTCTTAATTCTTGTACAGTAGAAGAGCAGAATATACTACTTTGGTTATCTCTTGGTTATGATCATAATGATTGTTATTGTGTTCTCTTATTCTCCTTCAGGTTTTGCTTAATATGGTAAATAGTTTGTTCCTGATCCTATTTGGATAGTCAATTGAGTTTAATTGTTTAAAGAAAAATATTTTTAGGAACGTCTGGATGGTTTCAAAGTGGGACCCTTGATAGCACTGGAATATCTTCTCGAATTGCAAGATGATGATACCTCAAAGGAACCAGTTTACTTATGCATTTTATGTGACAAAAAAGGGGATCCCCGTACTGTCTTAACTCATCTCGCGAGTTATAACCATATTTCACAGGTACTAAAAATACCAATTATTCAAATCCAGACGATTATGTACCTATATATATTTTTAGTATCTGCAAAAACACTTCCCTACTTGCTGGCGAGCTCTTGCTCCTTACAATACAAAACAGTATAGGAGAAATTGGCAGACAACTTTGCAAAAAATTGCTGAAGGCATTGAAAAGAAATTTGGGCGTTTGAGACCCTATCCCATCGATAAGGATAGATTTGAGAAAGAAAGAATGCACTATCTTCAAATTGTTGGAAAAGGAAAACATTTTTCCGAGAATACTGGTTATACTTTTGAGGAGTTGGTGGTCCATGATGAACTGACAAAATGTCATGAAGGTAATGTGTTTTGTTTTTATTCTGATCTTGACGATTTAGTGTATGTCATTTAGAAAAATAAATGGCATAAATAAGTGAATATAATGAACAAATGAACAATATCACAAACTATTAAAAAGCATTAAAATTTAATTTTGTAAAACACAGTAATAAGCAAATATTCGATACATTTAGATTACATGTCTATGATAAAATAGGTACAATGAAACTAAGAAGTATTTTATTCCTCTTGAATTCACATAAAAGCATATTAAAATTTACTTAAAATAGTATAAAAGGCAGCTTCAAGACCTTCTAATAAAATGTATTTTTGCAATTTCAAAATATGTGACTACATTGTCATTACTATTAGAAAATCGACGCGCCAAAGTTTTTCATTGACTATAGGGAATGGAAAAAGTACAAGGGCACAAAAGAAGTTAGTAAGGTAAGGTGATAATTTACTTCCGTGTGTGGTCAAAAGTCGACTACTGTTGTGGCAGAGGTGTGGAGAAGTGTTCTTATTGCCATTCAATTTTGCGATATCTGGTATTTAGAGGCTTCTGCTAAGGCATTGAATAATTCAGGAGCACATACAATATTGATTCCTATACTTTCCTTATCTGTATACCGACATGAAAGTAAAAATAAACATGAACATGCTTTTTTGTCTAAATTTGGCCTGTTATTTATAAAACCCAAATATTTTTCATTAGCACTCTCTTATTGAGCTAATTTTTGTGTCATCTATTTTTTTAGAGGATAAGTCCTATGAATCGACTACGAATAACAACTGGGGGAATACAGCTACTATTCAAAAACCTTTCAAGAAAAGGAGTCCTTCACCTCCCGTTGTCGGCATGCCTTCTAAGAGAAACAAGGGCAATGCTCAGACTAATCCAAGAAGAGCCCAAATGCTGACACAACCTCAAAACCAAGAACCTGCTTATACTGTACAAGCAAAGCAGCAAATTGAGTCACTGAACCAAGCTAACAAGTCTCAGGTAATAATAATGAATTAGATATGTATGAACATAATGGTACATAGAGAGGAATACATTTATTCCTTCATAAATCAGTAACTGTGGAGGAAAATCCCGAAACCCACCAATTTGAGATATTTATCCATAACATTATTTGTATGAGCATGTTGACGTCATCGAATTATATTTTAAACAGAAATGTAGGTCATGCTGTACCTCGTTTGAAATGTATTTAAATTATCCAACCATATCAGTAATACCCAAATATCCACGATATCTCAAAGTGGTCCTAAGTAGATTAACAAATAAAGAAATACAAAGTCTGCCAACTACTGATTTTAATAGAAATTTTTAATTTTTCGCTAGCGTTTTCGACCCTAAAGAATTATTTTCAGTTATAATGTAACATTGTAGTTAATCACTAATTTTGGTTTGAAAAAATTATTAAGACAAATACAATGTAAAATAATTCGTCCTGCATGTCTTTGGTAATTATATTATATTGTATTTTTTTATATATAATTTTGTCAAACTAAGACATGGATTTCTTTTAATTCTAATGATTAACTATATTGTTGCATTATGCCCGATGATGACCTCAACAGGGCCGAAAACGCTTGTGAATATCATTTTTTGAAAAATTCTTTCTAAATTAGTTGTTGACTGACGTTGTGTTTCTTTCTTTGTTAATAACATCAATAAGGTTAAGTATTTGAGTTTTGTGTACTGTCGGAATTTTATAATTCCTATAATTATATTTCATGCATTATAAATTAAAATACATTAAGTCCATAACATCTTGGTGCCATTAGTTATTGGATATTTTAATATTGATTATGAAATCGGCTCTTAATAAAAAATTGCATTTTTGGAATTTCATAATGTACATAGTTTTCATATGCGAGTAGAGCTAATTGTAAGACTGAAAAATCTCGGAAATGGAATGTTCTACAGAGATCAACCAATTCGCGATTCGAGCTAAGTGATACGCCCTCTGGAGGAAATTAGTAGAAGGTCCCTATAAGTAGGATTATCGTTCAGTGTTGCCAGAAGCAGCAAAATTTCGTTACGTCGTCGGATTTTAGTTCTTGAAGAAATGGATAAGACCTTTTATTTAAGAATCAAAATTTGTGTCTAGTAATATGTAATCATACTCTATATTTATGTAAGGATTTTTTTATATTGATTATATATTATATTGATTTTTTTTTAAATTTCAGTTCATTTATTAATTTTGTTTTAAAATCAGTTAGAGACAAAATCAGTTCATCATTTGGCATTGTTCATTGTTTACATTTTAATTTGTATCAATTACAATTCAAGTTTTTTCTTACTTTTTAGCTTTAAATTTGTTTATTTCTTATAGTATGTGATAGTGTTTAAATTAAAAATGAAATCTGCGAAAAAGCCCCCAGCAAATTGCAATCTATATGGTGTTAATGATGTCGAAATCAAAACTGCCGTATTTATTATTTTTCAAGTGCAAGTCATAAAAAAATTTTTCTTACGATAAATGGGTATCTACAAATTCACAATATTGAAATTTTGCAAAACTTTGTTTAGAAAACTCCAATTTGATTTGTACCGGTTTTATTACCATTTACATGTATACAAAGTACTACACAATTCAGTTCATGATATAAGAATAAGGATAGTAACATTTTTAAATAAGTTCATCAATAATAAACGTTTGGTACCTGATATGTCCTTTAAACCACATAATAAAACATGTCCTGGGTTTAGTAAATACATATTTCTAGATGTTCTTGTAGGTCAATATTTCCAACAAATTAGTTCATACTATGAAAAATATTATATTTATAACGAAAGCACGAAAACTAAACTTAAATTAACACTAAATGAAACTCAAAAACACTATTATAATAAGAATATTATCTAAAAACAGTTAAAAAATCACAAATACAAAATCCCACAACACGTAAATAAACAAACATCCTACTTATAGATGACAAATGACGCGCGAAAATTAATTTGAATCGCGAATAGCCCTTTTTTTTGTCAAAAATTGCGTGAGGACTAATTATTAATCTTAACTTTTACGAAATATAGCGAGTTCAAATAGTTTGGATTAAAATTGTTTTCTTAGCCTTTGATTCCATACCAATGGGTTATTGTAATTTATCGAAATAGCTTGTTTACTAATAGTAGCAATTTACTAACATTTACATATTTTTAAGTTAAAATCTTTACCGCAAGGGAAGATATTTAGAAAATCATTCATTTATTTGTATACATAATATAAAATATTACAACTATCTACCTAACTAAAATTACAAAAAAAACAAAATTAAAAATTTATATGAATAACAAAGGAAAGATTGCTATCAAAGACAACACTTAAATCACGGATTTCTTGAACTTTTGTGAAATTAATTTTATCACCCTGTAAAATTAAAATGAGATGTTTACGAGAAAATTTAGCTCTTCTTAATAATAAGTTAAGATTTACAAGTCTCCCAGTTTACGGTACTTTATTTTGAAACACTCTGTATATGTTTATTTATCAAACACTATATTTTCCATGTTTTTTCTTTAAACTGTTAATTGTACAAAGAAAAGTCATTATTTATAAAAAAATATGCTTTTTGAAAAAATAGAATTGCCATATAAAAATGTTAGGACAGATGTACAGGGGTGTTACTAAATTAAGAAAACATGAAAAGGTTTCATGAGAAAAGTAGTTATTTATTATTCATATCATAATTTTTATTAAAGAAAGTTGTTTCTAGTTCAAAATAAAGCCTAAATACAAATTTTAAAATCAAAAAACGTTTAATAAATCATCTATCTTGATTTTTAGATAAATACTGCAATTTATATCACGAATACACCAGAATTATTCTAAATGGAACATTTTTTATTTGAAAATTTGAATTCGGACTTTATTTTGAATTAGAACCAATTTTCTTTTGGGAACGGTTTGCTTCAAATAAATCTTGAACAATTTTCATGGTTTCTTAATTTATCAATACCCTGTATATCTGATCTAAGATTTTGTAAATAGTAATCTTAATTTCTCGACAAGTAGATTTTTTATACTGGTATGTTTTCACTCAGTCACTACAAATTTTCTCGAAATTTCCAATATCATGGTCGAAATCATCATCAAAATCACTTCGAAATCAATTCGTCGCTCAAAAATGTAAATGCGGCAGCTTGTGGTTCAAAATAGCCCAAAAAAAGGTCATCGTATAAATTTAAGAAACATTTTCAGCAAAATCACTGCAATCACAAAAAAGTTTTAGGTGATTTCCGATTTTGACCTTAGTGGTTTCCCCCTCTAAATTACTTATCGTGCTAAAAGAAACGCATTATTTAGAAGATTAAATATTTCTTAAACAACACAATATAATAATCCATTATCAAAGTACAGAGTATCCAAAAACATTCCAACCAAATGAAATCAAATATTAAAAAGAAAGTAAAAATTATGTTTCATGAATGAGGCATGTTTGATCACAAAAAAAATATTAATATTTACAGTAACATATTTAACATTTGAAAATTAATGTGTAAAGTTTATTTTTTTTTTTATTAACGGATTTTTGAAGTTGTAAAAAAATTGATGGCTCTGTAAAAATAATTTTTATAATTCGCCGTTTTCACTTGGACATTCTGTATATAAAAAAAATTAGATGTAATATTATTAGTGAAATATTTGAATGGTTTTTAAGGCTTTTTAAATTTTCAAAAACTTAGGTGACTCCTCAAATTCAACAGCAACCTCCAATTCGACAACAACCCCCAATTCGACAACAACCCCCAATTCTACAACAATCTATTCCTGGTAAAATACCACCAGCCCAGCCAGGAAGGCCACCTTTTGATAGGCCACCTCCTGCTCGGCCACAAGTTAGGAGGAGATCCCTATCCAGCGTTTCTAGCATTTCAGACAAAAGTGATGATAGTAACGATGGTAGGCGAAGACCTATTGTTAGGGACAGAGAGAAGCCACCTTTCCAAAGAGGTAGACCTGGCGGATTTGAGCGAGATCGACAACTCCCTTATGCACGGTAAGTTATTTAAAGATTGATTTATGGCTCTATTAATCCAATACATTCTTCAGGCGTAGATCCCCGTCACCTAGGCGTAGATCTCCAGTCAGGCGCAGATCCCCTTCACCAAGACGTCGAGTTGTTTCGCCGCCTAGGCGCAGGTCGAAATCACCTATTTTGAAACAAAAGTCACCTGTTAATAATGCCGCTATGGAACAAGAACGAGAGAAGTTAAGAAAATTAGAAGAATTCAAAAAATTGGGTAGAGCTATTGAGAATGACATGCAGAAAACTTTGAAACAACATGAAAAGAACCCCGAGAAACATCCTCAGTATAATGAAGAATGGAAAAAGTTCTGGAATAGAAGGTAGTAATAACGAAAATATGACTAATAGGCTAAACACACAATACATCATTGGCTATTTTTTGGGCTTAGAGTTTAATTGAACCCAGAGGAGCGAAGAATTTTATAAATTTTTATGGCTTTTACGAGATTTGATTTGAGTTGACGTTTATACAATATAAACGTGTGTCCTTTTATTCAACTGTTGCAGCAACGTTGGAGTCGGTGCTGCATCTTTCTGTCTTTTTTCATAAATCTTTTTCAACATTGCTGCAATCGATGCAACACCAATCCATCAGTTTCAATTTATGGTTATTCTGATTAGATATGACAACTGACAGGTAGATTGTGGGAAATGAGGAATTAATTATTTGTTCTATTGTGAAGTTGAATATGAAAAACTTTTTTATTATTAATGTTAGGAAATAAGTTATTCTTCATAAAAAGTCGAGCATAGTCTAAAACCTAAAATACAACTATTGGATATCAAATTTCATCAGTCGTATACGAGGTTTGTCAAAAATAAAGGTACTTTACTCTTCCGCAAAATATTTTTTGACAAACCTGGTATACGGCTTAAAATAATTGATATCTGATGGTTGCATTTTAAATTTTTCACAAAACCAATAATAAAAAAGTTTTCCATATGGTTAAAACTTAGTGAGACATATTGTATAAGTTTTAAATGACTTGAAACTCATTCCAAATATTTCAAAATTATTCATGGTATAGGAGTAAATAATAAGTTATTGTTTCTAAAAATTTTAGAATATACATTTAGATTCAACAATTTCAGCAGCTCGGGGCATCTAACTATACCGTTTAAAAGTTTGAAAACAAATGAGCAGTCATGATATTTTCTGTGTAATTTCAACGGACATAATTTTAGTAATTGCAAAATGTGCATTGTCATGATTGTGCCCAAACGTCGTCTTCGTGCTATAAGACCATCTTTTCGACTCTCGTTATACAAACTACTAAATTTTTTAACTATTTTGTCCATCAGTCCATCTAGGTAATCCAAAATAAATTTCAAACGATTTGGTTACAAATATAAGTGCTAAGCAAGAAGTCAATGTTGCCTTATTTTAATTCTCTGTATGCTTGAAATACACATTCATTCATCTTCTCATTTGACTTTAAATGATCAAAACTATATTTTCCGAAAGCAATGTGTGTATTCAGAGCTGCGAACCAGTCGAATCGCTTGGTCTTTGATCTACGATTGTTTGAACTGTGAGTAAAAGTATGTTATTCGAAATTTCGGCTTTTATTATTGTTCTTAATTTTATTAATGTATTGTTTTGAGAATTGGTTTCGAGGTGATTGTATTGCTATTATACTTAAAATAACATTAACCCAATGCCAGAATAACCTCTTATATACAGTGCCAAAAATATATATGTTAACCTATATGCTATAGAGACAAATCTTTTATTACAATAAAACAATATCACGAAATGGCTTATAAGCAATAATATAACTTGGCTTACTAAGTAGGTATATTTTTTAATTTGAATGATTGAGTATAATAGGTCCTCGCAAATCAAATTAAGTAATTTAGTGTAGTTTTCAGACCATGTATGGGGTCTATTCTGTAACAATTCCTTTATATTTAACGGCCTTTAAAAATATGTTCGTATTCGTTAATTTACTTCTGTCATTATTTAAACAGATTTCTTTAAGATAGTCCTCTAATGTATTTTAAAGATCCGTTTAAATAATGACAGAAGTAAAGAAGAACATATTTTTAAAGGCCGTTAAATATAAAGGAATTGTTACAGAATAGACCCCTATATATGTATATTAATATAAATAACTACCTAATTTATTTCAAATGTATAAAATGTTCTCATATTTATAATTATGAATATCATTAATTCACTATCTTGTACATTTATTGAATATCAATACTGTTGTAAATAATGTAACATGTGCACACACACTGGTTTTGATGGTTTTGAAATGTATTGTATTTGTACTGATGGGAATGAATAAATTTGAATTTGGTTATTAATGGAGTATTGGCTTAACTCCTTGAAAAAAATCATTTTTTATAATTGTTTTATATTTTATTTTTTATTATTCTCAAAGTTGCATTATTTATGTTGGGCGATATTTCATGAATGTTTATTTAATTATTTTAATTTTGGTAAATTGACATTCTTCACATGTTTTTCCATCGATTTGATTATATGTTTTTCAGAAACATATTAACGAATATTTGATTTATAGCACAAGTAGAAGTTGGAAAGGCTTTTGGTAGGTAGAGAGGGGGTAAACGTCAAACCACGTCGGACGGCTTCGAGAATTTCGCAGTGATGTTTACCTGCCAGTGTCGTTTCATAGAATAAGAAATTTTAAATTGTTACCGGCTGAACCGGACAATCGCATGTATTTATGGACTATAAATAATTATTAAACATGTATTATAATATTCAAATCATAATTTTACAAAATTTCAACAGCTATTCACAATTTATTAAACTATTTTCTCGAAATTGTTATTAACATCTATAAAATAATTTTGTACGCCAATGTATCGCGTCCACTTCGGTGAGATCCGCCGCAAACCTGTCAATTTATGTCTATAAAGTGGGAGAACTGGCAAAAGCCTTTCCAACTTCTACTTGTGCTATAACATAACTTCATTTATTTGTGTTTTACCAATCACAGTACTGTAGGTAACTATTTAAAAATGCTTAAGTTTAAATTTTAGAACATGTATAGTTTAGGTTGAGACATGATAACTAAATATTTTGAGAGCATGAAGCCACGTGTTTCTACAATATTGGTTTTTATTACTAAAAAAGAAAAAATCTAATATGATGAAGCCCGAAAAATGTTTTTAAAAATTCAGTAAGATAGCGCTTTGGTCATTCCAACCTGCAAGAGTTCTTAAAAGATTTATGTATGAATCGATACCCGATTTTTTGTATCAATTATATTTATATATAAAAATTGTGTTTTAATTAAATTTTTATGGTCAGGTACAAGGAGTTAAAAGCTGAAGGCGTAGATGTCCAAAAGCATGACTTTAAACCGGAATGGATAGGATTCTGGAACAAACGGATGGTCGAGATCCACAGTGACGAATTAAGAAACCGAAAAGAAGCTTTGAGAAAGCGCCTTGGACTTCCTGAGGAAATTAACCCCATCAAATTTAAAATCGGCGGTGGCCTTGCATTACCTATAAAAATTAATCCGAAGCCTATGCCGATGGCAGCTCAGCCCGATCAGGACAATGAAGTTATTGTGATTGATGATAAAGATGATGAAAAAGTTATACAAAAGACAAAAAGTCCCTTTGAAGATAAGAATAAAGGTACTTTAAGTTATAGCTGAGGCGGCGAATCTCTAACACAGTATCATAAATAATACCTAGAAGAAATAAGTCTAGAATTACTGGTCAAAGAATGTATTTCTTGAAATTGTTATCAGTCATCACAACAACGTACTACTTCATAAAATAAATGTTTTATGGGTAAAGATTCGCTGTCCCGTGTATTTTAATATACAGTATAAATAAAAATATTATTGTGCTAGTCATGAATCCCTATTTTGTACATAACCACATTAGAATGCCCAAGAAAACTGTCTTAATATTATTTTTCTTTTGTAAAGGTGGTCCTGGTCCAGTCCACAAACCACCAGTTAAGCGTTCTAAAAGTCCTAATAGGGATGTTGGACTCAGACGAATGGTCAAACCACGTTCCAGATCTAAAGAGAGATTAATGAGAGATAGGTCCCATTCAAGAGACAGACCTTTTAGAAAATCGCATTCCACAGAGAGGGGTAGATTCAAGAATACTTCTCCAATAAGTGATGCATCAAGGTATGTCATTTTGTTTATTGGAACTTCTAATGCAGTTTTTGTTTTTTCAATAATCTTAAAATATACACTTAGATATTAAAACAATAATATTTAGAATCTCATTGAAAATTCGAAAATGTATCATACATTGGCATAAATAATGTACAAAATCTAGGTCACCTAAGGTCACGGACCTCTCTGTACTTTTTATTTTAATATCGCCCAACTACCCAATAATTTATCTTTAGGTGTGGAGAGGAATTTCAAAAAAATAACTGGTTTATTAATTTTACAGTAGCATCCACTACATTTAACCATTTTCACAAAAAAGACCACCATGATTCCAGAACACTAACCTCCAACCTCGTAAAATAAGACAAAAGAACTACTCTAAATTTTACAGTTACAAACACCACATTTAACCATTTTCACAAAAAAATACCACCATCATTTCAAACCCCTAACCTCTAACTTCGTAAAATGAGACAAAAGAACTACTCGAAATCTCAGATGTTAAATAAATCAATCTTTGTTTATTACTTTAAAAGAAATGTTAACAATTATTTGTTACTTAACAAAAGAGACGTCAATGATTCTAATAAACTGGTTGTAATTGGTCGAGTGAGTCCTTAAATAAAAATCTAAGTTTGAGTATAACTGCTCTAGAGCTCCAGGTGGTGGTTCCAGTGTTGGAGTGGAATTTAGAGATTCCCTTGATTTATCCGAACTTCAATTTTCGAATTTTCGTTCAAGGGCGCACTTAACCAATAATCTTGGTCAAGTCTAGTTTACAAATCTGTAACTTAGAGGTAAAGAATCGTATCTCCAGTTTTGTATTATGTAGAGTGCATTCACTAAAATATCTAAAGCTTATAGTTTGTAATGGTATCAATCAAAATCATATCTCTATAAGTACTAACTAGTTTTTGATATAGTATATTTAGAAAAAAATTGTATTTTCTCTGTGCAACAACGATGAACAACTACTAGCCCAATTTTGTTTACAAAAGGCGAATTGCCAAGAATTCATGTTTTTATTGAACATAGCCAAATTCACGGGGGTCGGATTCCATGTAAATAGTTGGTAACAAGTTTGCTTGACCTCGACAGTAGCGCGCTAAGCGGTTACGGTTGAACTACACCTGTCAGTTTCAGTCGATAGAGTAGAACACTACTAATTAAAGCGATTTAAAAATTGGCGGGTTTGATAATTTAGATATTTGAAGCAATTTAAAGTAACATTTTCCTATTTGACAACTTTTACTTACAACTACTAAACAAACAATAAGTTTAGTGAATTTTTGTTGTAGGTAAATGTTGAAAAATGGAAAATGTCACTTGTTTTAACTAAAAAATAAAATTAGTTGAAAAATAAAACACATTTTTAACAAGTTTAATTTATTTAGAATTACCATGTAATTACATGTGTCTCATTATCTTCTAACTGCATATTTTGAACATAACAAGCACTATATCACACACTAAATTACTGAAAAATAAAAATATAATATGATAACCAGCATAGCACATGACAATGTTTTTATTATTAAAAAAACCCGATATAGTTTTTATAAAAAGTCAAAGTAGTTAATTTATAAACACAATTGTTTTAATGTTTTAAATATCCCTTATTAATCCAAGGACAAATCATTCTAATTCTAATATATTATACTTATTGTCCCTTTAAGGCCTTGATCCATCTATTTCAATCTAGAATAGTTGTAATGCCTATTTCGGTTACAATAAGCCTCCAGCTTCAATACAGGTGGGCTTTGAAACTCACCCTAATTAAGAAACACATTTATGCACATTCCAAAAATCTCCATACCAGGGAATATCTAAAACAAAACAAAAATAAAGGAGCAGTGTGTATCTTAAAATTAAAAATAAACACGAGTTATAACCTTTTTAAATTCTTACATTTTTCTTGCAATAAAAGGTATTAAAATTTCAATAATAATAGAAAACATCTGATTTATGATCTTAATAGGTGAACTATGCAAAAATTAACAAGTTGACCTAAATAGCATATAAGTTATTGAACATATTTGGGTATTATTTGATAAATATAATAATGAATATCACCCAAAAATTGAACAATAACTTTTTGAGCACAAATCATTCGCCTTTTTTCATCATGGTCTTTATAAGTAAAACTAAGATGAGGTTCTATCTCGGGTTCTACAATATTTGTTTGTAAATTGGCTTCACACATTTCGCTCACAACTCCTTTCATTTTTTTGACCGCAAATGTTTAAAATGTGGATCCATTTATCTCTAGAGTAATAATAGCAGGAAAAACATAAACTTTCTTGTTAATTTTGTGAGAAAAATACTTACTTCTGCAATTAAAATTTAAATGAATCAGAAGTTAATGATTTTCTTAAGAACCTGCCTATAGTTAAATTAGTTAAATCTAACTTACACTTAATTAATACAATTTACTCACCTACATTTGAAAAAAATATCACCTGCATTTGAAAATGAAAATATCAGGCTGACATATTTATAGCAACATAACCTAATTTATTTTCAAAGCCAGATTTACACCACCTAATAATATTTAAATTTATCTTTAACTTTAAATTTATTAGCGATTATCCCTGTATTTGATCACACATTATAGCAAAGTGAAATTTAAAGGGGTAAATCAGTAAAATTATTGATTTCTTTGTCATTATTTTTGAAAACATATTTTTTTGTGAGTGTAAAACCGGTTTGAATTTAGTGATAGCAGCGCGCTAAGCGCTTACGGTTCAACTACCAACAAGGAAACAAATCCCGCCATTTATTCAAACCTTCTCTTTTTATTTTTCTATGGCCAAATTATTACTGGATAGTTCATGTACAAGGATTGTTTGTGGTTATAATTCAGAATTTACTTAACAAAAAAATGCTTCCAAAATTAGATAAAGGAGTATTTGCATTCTAAATGCCAGATATAATTTAATAGTCCAAGAGCCAGTGACACACATTTCATTAAGTGTTTGATGCACTTTGAAATTTTGTAATTTGAAATCATTTGGATGGAAAAGCAGATATACCTGTGTTGGCTTGACCCACCCGGGACACCAGGTACTGCGCATAATAGAAAGGGGTCGTAAAATATGACCCAAAAAAAGTGTTTGATTCACGCTCAAATTTTAATAGCGTCTTAATTAAATATAAAAAAAATTAATTCCAAAAAGGCAGACACTTTTTCCGGGGTTTAATTGCCGGCCAACATAAAAATAAGTCTTATCGCTGATCACCCTACAGCTGTATCGGCCGTTCATACAAGGGAAGTGCAACCAACTTGACAAAATAAAATTGACACTAATGACATAAGAAATCGGGTCACATAAAGAGACTGTTTTTTAGTTTGCTTTATGGTATTTCCTATCTACTTTCATGCCATTTGCATACATTGTTGTACCCGTAACGTGAAAAAGACTTTTTAGTTTTTAAAGGTTGAAACATTTTGTCTTCGTCAGCTGTCAATTATGTTGTTCGTAGAACACAGGCGTAACCATAGATGGGCATAATGTAACTAGTATTGTATGTTGATTGTATATTGTATAGAACTTGTAGCAGCAGCATTTTGCAATCGACATAAAACCAAATGAAAAAAAAATGTATAATTAAAAACTATAATGCACCAATTACTTTTTTTTATTGTAAAACTATAATAATTAAATCCATAATGTAAAAATTTGATTGTTACGAACAAAACACATTGACTTATAAAAGTAATATTAAATATTAATTAGTTAAAATAATTTAAATAACGAGGTTAAAAAGTACTATATAATCAGTCTACAATTTTACTTATGTTTTTAACATAGTAAAGATACTTTCATATTAAAGATTTAAAATGTAAAAAAATAATGAAAAGAGAAGAACATAAATTTTTACTAATCTAATCTTATTTATCAGTCTCTATGCAATCTAGTCGCAGTTGGCTTCAGTTATTTTCATCTTCTTAAAGTTTTAATTTTTTCTCATACTTCTTTAACGAAATAACAACCTCTACTGAGTAACTTAGGGGGTTGAATAACTTGAAGAACGTCAGGCCAAGCATAAAGTTCTTCATCTTTAACTGTCGGCCATTTCCAGCATTTTGATCCTTTCTTCATACACCATACTAAAGCCCCATCATCAGATAATGAAAGAATTTTACCAGGATAGATCTCATTATTCGATGATATAAGGACGTGGTCACCAACTTTATATTCATATTCATATGTACATTTTTCTGAAGGAACAATTTTCGATATTTTCACATCGCTTTCTACTTTAACATTTTTCTTTTACGTCGCGTTGATACTGCAAGTGTGTCCTTATCCAACGCAATCAAAACAAGAAAATAGTTCTAAATTCAAGCACATCATTTGAGAACACAAATTATCTTATTTTTTGAGTGCCAAGAAAAGTTGAAATAGAGCTAGATTTTATGATCAAATTATCCATGTTATTGATTTTCGCTGTACTTACCTCAATAAGCATTATTGAGGGATATTTTGAACTTAGTACATCTTTCAACACATTTAAATCTGTCACATATTTCCCTTCAGCCACGGCTTGGTCGGCAGACCTCTTTAAGTGCCACCAACACCATCTGGTGGTCCTTTGCCATGACCAGGTGAAGAATAGTTCCAAGTAAAATTATTTATACCTGGCAAAACATATTTTAAATGGTGAGAAACGATGTGGAAAATAAATTTGTTTTTGTACTGGTTAACTGGGCTGTCACTCAGAAAGTGTGCAGTATGTATGCTCGGTCTTTGATTTTTAAGCCAATCGAATATTGGCTTAAGATGAGCCCATGCTGCTATTGAGTCATGTTGATTATTATTGGAGAGAGTACAGAAAGATTGCACTTTAACAGTATTATCAGAGTTTTTTTAAATATAACACGCCAGTATGGAGTGTAACTTGCTGCCGACCACCACCAAAGTGAACTGCTTGAATTTCTTCCCTGTATTTGCAACAATAATTTTCACTAAAATCAATGTTGATGAGCACATTGGTTGACAATTTTTTTTTAACTGTGTCACCACTTGATACTGGTGTGCAATATTTCCTGCATGTATCAAAAATAATTTTATTGTCTCTTCTAATAAATAATAAAACTAGTTCTTTCAGAGTAACAGTTATTTCTTTCTTCAAAGGTTTACGAACTGTTTTATCTCACTATTTTTTTCATATGTGGAGTTTTCGTACATCCATTGTCGATAAGTAAATTGGGAAAGGTATTCTAGAGCCTTGTCTTTACAATTTATACATTCTCTAAATAAACATTTAGTACAGTAAATATCACATGTTATTTCTTATAACAAACTTGGAATATTATTATGTAAGATGACTTTATTTTCATGTAATTTTGAAATGATTAGTTCCATGTTTGCGTGAACGACGCATTTACACTTGTCTCGTTCTTTAGGATTTGCCCAAATTACCCAAAAAGTTCTGTACTTGCAAAATGTTGATAAAATTATTTTGTAAGTAATAGAATTTAAAAAATTTTATGCAAATTACGCATATTATCAGTTAACAGACGCTTTTGTTTAATTAATTTACCTGATCTAACAAAATCCTTCTTTCCTGGACACATTCGAGAGTTTTCATCTTTCTCCAAGAAATCAATAATATCTTGTTTTACTTTTAAAATTTTTGATTTAAGTTTTCTATTTTTACTTGTTTTGCAATTTTGATTTTTGAAAAAGGTTTTAGAATAGTGCATAAGTTTGTGTTTTTTAAAGGATTTAATTAAAAATTTTATAGTATGCTTGTTTATATATCTGAGTCTTTAGCTTGGCATAAAATTGTGCTAATTGTTTAGTGATGATTTCAGAAAATATTAGTTTCTTTTGAATTTTTTTTCTGGTAACTTAGTATTCTTTATCAGGGTTTTAACTTTTGCCTCAGGTGAAGATGTTTTTATTCGGTCATTTAACCACATGTACTTTTTTCGATATTTTTCACTCTTCCTAACCTCTTCTTTAAATATTGTTCTAACTTTGCTATTCTTCCATACAATATTGCTTGTCGATTTCTTAGTTGTCGCCTTCGTCGTAAAGCAATAGTTTCTTTTTTAACAGCATTTACTCGCAAACCAGGTTCTGCCGGTGGAACTGGACACGCAGATGGTGTATCATCCATCAATCTTGCTAGATTTTTACGCAGATTTTTATTCTTCTTCCTGTATTTTGAACTGCTTAATCCCCATTGTTTCCGTTTATGCCTTCTTTCGTGTGAACTCATAACACTGACAGACTTGACCTGACCTTTTTCTTTCTTTAAATACTTGAGTCTTTCTTGTTCTTTGAGTTTCTCTAAACTTTCAGGACAATTTTTTAATTTTTCACGCCGCTTCACGTCATACTAGGAAAGGGTAAAACAGTGACTTTTTAATAACAGGTACAGTCTCCTTCAGTTCCATAAAATACCTGTTTCAAAAAACCTGTTCCAGTTCCAAATTGTTCCAACAATTTAAACCGTTGTTTGTTGTTTCGCGTGTTGCGACTTGCCAGCGCGGAGTGTCACACATATAGGAACACCGAAAACACGATACCGAAAATAAAACAAGACAGTTTTACGTCGACGAAACAGTTCGATTTTTTAATGTTTCAACTGTTTCAAGGGTACTTGTCACAGTCACAGTGTAGCAGTCGCAAAAACGCAAATTTTAACTCAATAGTTATTAATTATTATTACACCTATTATGAATATGTTCTTTTTTGTTAAAAAAAAACTAAACTAAAAACACTATTGAATAAACAAATAATTATGTTTCAATCTTATTTTATTTTTGTTTCATTTCAGAAAAATAACAGATCACAGATTCTATAATATTCATTATTTAATAATAAATATCAAGCTGTTTCAATATTAATGCAGGCTAGTCTGTAACCGCAACAGACAGCTGTCACAGTAACAGTAATTAATATTAATAAAGCCAATGCCCGATAACAAGTTGTTCCAGTCCCACGCAATTTGCGCTCTGCGACTGTGACAGAAAGTAGCAATTTAAAATAAACAATCTCCGTCCACCAAAACAACTGTTCCGTCGAATTGTTTCGTGATTCGATGCATACCTGTTCCAGTCCCAGGCAAATTCGTGATTCGACGTATACCTGTTCCAATCTGTTCCAAGTGAAAACCTATTTCAAAAATAACAGATACTGCTTCAGCGACACAACCCTACGTAATACTCCTTTTTCTTCAGTTTTGCTTCTGCAGCGATTAATTTTCTACTTCTCGACATTATAGACTTTCAGTGTACTGAAACCAATCAAACATAAATATTTTATTCCTATTAGAAAATATATTATTCCTTCACAGGGATCATTCCCTCATTAAAAATTTTTGTGAGGGAATGATGATGAGGGAATCGTGAAACGAAACAAAATTGCCACAAACTCAGAAACATAACCTTACTTTCTTATAAGAACTGTGAACAGTACTTTTTTACTACCGGAAACATATAAAATTATGCTATTATTATTAATTAAAGAAGTGCTTACCTTATGATAACATTACATGAGGGAATGACATTAAAAATGTAATATTTAAAAAACTTGTCAAATTAGTTTTAAAAAGACATCTTTTCTTCAACCGTCCGCTCTAGTGTACGTTATCAAGGCCAATGTTGCCAACTACAAAAAAAATGAAGTGGGCCTTGGTAGGCCTTTTAATTTCGCTCCAATCACACTGTTTCAAAACGGCGAGGGAATGATAGATTTTTCAAGGACAAATTTTGAATTATATTTAAAATTATTTCCATTCGCATTTTTTAAACTATGAACTCATGTAGGTACAGTCAATACTATCCTATATAAGTAAAAAATAACAATTAGTAAAGAATTTTACGTTTTAAGTTAATAATTATCTTCGAATTTAGCAGTTGGGACATAGTGAGATAATGATTTTTAGGGTACTTTCTTGGACATATCTTTTATTGTATATCATATAAGAAATAAAGTATTTCATAAATTCGTATATCTAGTACAGTAGTTTTATTAAAAAAAAAAATTCATAATTGACGATCCTGGTTTATAGAAATCATTAAGATGGTCCTTTCGCCACACCTCTCGCCTCAAATGTTAAAAAAAAAGTTATTAGATTATGACTAAAATTAATTTTTTTCTAATAGTTGAAGTCCTTATTTATCTAATACTGAACTTTTAACTATACCTTACCTTGCAAATTTTTGAGAATTTTTTTTTAAATGTGAGTATTTGTACAGTGCCTCACGAGAAAGTAAGTCATCAACAACAATTCTCGAATTATACTATTATTTATTGATTAGATGGAGTAGAAAAAAACTAAAAATAAGGTTTTTGAAATATTTAGATTTTGTTTTATACAATAAAATATATATAGTAAACCGTGGAACTTATTGAGAAATTAATATTAAAAAAATCACAAAAAATTTTCAAGTAACCTAGTTGAAATTTTTTTGTGATTTTTTAATAATATTTTCTCAATAAATTCCACGGTAACCTATATATTTTATTGTAAAAAAAAACAAAACCTAAATATTTCAAAAACCTTGTTTTTAGTTTTTTTCTACTCCATCTAATCAATAAATAATAGTAAAATTAATTATAATTCGAAAATTGTTGTTGAAGTCTTACTTTCTCATAAGACACTGTACAAACACACACATTTAAAAAAAAATTTCTCAAAAATTTACACGGTAATGTATAGTTAAAAGTTCACTATTAGATAAATAAGGACATCTACTATTAGAAAAAAATTAATTTTAGTCATAATCTAATATTTTTTATTTAACATTGGTGGCGAAAGGACCTCCTTAAGTACATGAATTTCGATTTTTTTAAGAATCAGCCATTTATGATTGAAAGGATTGGTTTAGTGACCCATGTTTGAGTAGTTCAGATTAGACAGACTTCGGCTTGTGTACATGAGTTGTAGTTAAATTCGCTTTGATGCTAAATTTTCATGTCTTTTTAAAAAATGGTTTTTTACACTGCAATAATTTATTAACATTGAACCAGAGATAACAAATATCGTGCTGTAGTGAATAAGACATTCTAAGGGTCACAGGAGGGTGTAATATCCCCTGTTGTGATATACATATTGCATTATTCTCGTTTTGTTTACAAAAATATTTACATAATATTAAAAAAGCCCAATAATTCAACCTATTTAATTGCATCTGAACTCAAACAATTTTGAATCATTCGTTATATCAAATTTAACTAAATTAGATGTAATTAGATGGATTTCTACATTGTTTATTATAAGTGCACAGCACTGGCTAACACATTTATTCATTGATAAAAAAAAATTGTATCGCCGTAAAATCCTTCTCTTTATCCCTTCTCTTACCTCTCACCTTTCGTCTCCTCGCCAAGGACCAACAAGTGGATCGTATTGACTGTCGAATTATTCTTGGCATTGTGAATATTATATTTTATAAATGAATGTTTATCTCTGCATTGAACTGATATGGTTTTAGTGTATTGCTAGAGAAAATGCTGGCAAGAACATTTTCTTTATGGCAAATGATTGCCGAATCGTAGACTTCATGATTACTTTAGTAGCAACTAAACCAATACATACAGTAAAAAATGTGACAATGGAAATATTACAGCATCCTAACTTAATTAAAGAGTATGGGATCCTTTACAAAAACAACCAGTAGTAGCGTGTCTTAATTATCGTAGTGTTTTTAGTCTTAAATAAGTATTATGATTTAATTTTGAAAAATGTACTACTAAAGTGTAGAAGGGCCACATAAATTATTTTTTTAAATTTCGACTTTAATCTCGAAAATTTCCGACGTTTAACTCGGAATTTCGACTTTAAAGTCAAAATTATCCTTAGTCACAATTTTTTTTAGTACTATTCATAGAGGTTATTATTAAAATATAGCTATGCCGACGTGACGAATGTATTACATATTAAAACAAAACATTAATATAATTACTACTTTCAAGGTCCAATAAAAATCGTTATCGTGATTCCAGAGACCGGTCTTTGTCAAGAAACAGATCACACTCAAGAGGGACATCGCCGTATAGTAGAAGATCAAAAGAACGAAGATCAGTCTCTCGGGAAAGAAGTTGGGAAAGAAGAGATGATAGGAAGCGCCCCACAGAATTCATTAGAGAAAGTTCATTTGAAAGAGATATAAGAGCAAAGGAGCGAGTTAGAACTGTCGCTGATTTGCCTTGGGAAAAACATGATAGAATGTCAGGAAATTATTCAAGTAAGTCAAGCTTCTTAATTTTTTATTCGGATAGGTATACATTACATAATTATTATTCTAAATGGTACACAAAATTAAAATATGCATATGTGTAAAATCAACCAACTTGGGTCACAAAAATACCACAAAAAAAAAAAAGAAAAACAAGTATAGAAGCATGAATAGTTAATATACGGAGACCCTACTATTTCATAGGGACAGTTTTGGCTCATTAAAATGGCGCCAAGAACCCTTTGATATCTACAGTGAGATTCAAAATATCAGACAAAAAACTAAAATTTTCATTTCTTTAAATTCATTCCCGGACAGTCATTTAGGCTTTATGGACTACTTATGTTTATTTTTCATTATACTGTTATTTAAAATGTAAATACATTACTGCATTATGTTACATTATTAATATTCATCAAAATCTGAGGGATGCCGTCAGGGTCTTTATACTTATTGGGATCAAGTCTATTAATTTTAAAAATGACTTCCTGGGTGATAAAGATGTGTGTACTTAAAGTTAGGGCAAACATTACTGGAGTGTGAAGTACGAAATTTGTGACGTCGACAGTATTGTACCAAGTGTGGAATATATTTTTTGAGATATACAAAAGTAATATTGTTGATAACGAACATTAGTGATGGGACTGTTCATGAAAAGTAATTTTGGACTAGTCCGACGGACATTTCCGGAAAAGTACGCAATGAAAAGTAGTTGATTTTGAGCAAAAAGACAGGATTAAATGTTTCTCCATCCTGGATGCATTTTCAAAAACACTTTGGGATCAACATTTGCTTTTGTATTTTTGTTTTTTAGGCAAATCATTTGTAAGATCGTTCCAAAATTTGAATTTTTTGGTCATTTTTTTCACGTATTTATTTTAATAAACACCGTTAAAACATTAAAGTCACTATTCATTTGTCTTTTCTTCTTTTTAAACAATATTTTGTCTTTGTAAAAAATACAGCCAAATTATTTATTTTAAAGGAACCAGAGGTTTAATTTCGCGCATGAGCAGTGCACTTTTCCACTTTTGAAAAGTGTTTGGACAAGTCAATTTTTCAGATTAGTCCGTTGGACTTGTCTGTGGACTTTTCTAAGCTACCCATCATTAACGAACAGTTTTTTTAATTTAATTTCTCTTGCAGTGTACCGAAATCCGTACCTTCCTCCTCCAATGATGCGCGACGTAACAAGGAAACCAGTTGATTTCAATATGCCACATGACGATGATGATGATGAACTTGAGGTCAATGTAGTTGACGTCCTTCGTCTTCTTACAGCTCTTGAAGAACGTTTGGGTTCATTGGGACCAAAAGTTATTGATCTTCTAGCACAAGCCCTAGCCCTAGAGAAAAACGAAGCGAATAGTTCAGAAAGTCTTTTAGATAATGACATAAATTGTGTACTTTTTGAAACCGTAAAAGAGAAGCTTAAAGGACAACTATTTGCTGGGCTTGTGGATATGTTGCAGGAACGGGCATTTAAAAGGGCAATTAAAAAAATTGCAAGTTTGATGCATATGGCTGGACAAAGAAAGAGGCAAAGGGATAAGTTACTTCCGAAGATGACTCCTGTTTCAGTATCTGGAGTGGTAGACAAGGCTGCTATTGCAAAACAGATTGCTAATGCATTAGTTGCTCAAGGAAAAACAGATGTATCTCAGGATGAGTTAGAAACATTAATAAATGCAGTGGTAAGTAATATAAATTGAATTTTTAATTAATATGATACACATTCATTTTTTATAGGTAGGAATGGCTGAAGCTTCCAGAAATTCAAGTAAGCCAATGACAACAGCTAATTTCTTACAGATATTAGGTAGTGGGAATGGAGAAAGAGATACACAAGAGAAAATAACCCCCAGTTCTTCTAAAAAATTGGACATAGTGGATTTGGAAAAACTCACAGAACCTTTAACACCAAGCCCTGGGAAAAATTCAGCAAGTAATATGGAAAATCTCTCGGATTCTGACCTTCAAACACTCTTACAAAACTTCAAAGATCTATCAACTGAAGAACAACACAATTTGATAAACTACCTTAAAAAATTGGAATATCAAGAGCCAGAAAGAGTGGAAAGGTTACGAAAGTTCGTTAACTTAGAACCTGGTGATAAACCAAAGGATGATGATAATAAAGAAGCAGATGAAGATGTAGAAGTTGATGGAAATAAGAATAAGGCTAATGGTGGTAGAGAAAGTCCGTTTTCAAACAGAACTGGAGCAGTAAACCCAGATCATGACTTAGTGGACATTGATTCTGATGAAGACAATGAGAAAGATGAAAAGATGAATGACGATAAAGAAAAGAATATTGAAAAGGAACAAAAGAAAGTCCATGTAGATTCCGAAGATGAATATAGTTTTGAAGACGTTGTCAAGTCAGTCTCCAAAAATGTGAAAGATAAAGAAATGGAACATAGCAAAAAGGTTTTAGAGGACACTATGAAATATGATAAATCCAAGTCTGAAGGAAACCTAAACACTGCTAAAGATCTTATTTCTAATTTGATGGCAAACATATCCAAAACAAATTCCAGTTCCAGTAGTGTAGACTTGCTTGGTTTAGGTTCAAAGTCTGTAACTTCAAATCCACCAACTAATATGGCAAACGTTGACTTCACAAAACTTGGTGATATTGGAATGTCTAATTTGGCTAGTATACTAAGTAACTTTAAAAATTTGACTAGCCCAGACACTACTGAAAAGAAAATTGATTTCCAACCTCCATCTACAGTAAAAAATGTAAACAAAATGAACTTTGATTTGTCTAACCTAGACTCTAATGGAAGGAAAATTGATTTCCAACCTCCATCTACAGTAAAAAATGTAAACAAATTGAACTTTGATTTGACATCACTTAAACCAAAACCACAAGAAAATGTCGAATATCGAGATCAAGGTATTAATAAAGAGCCTATGACCTTAAATCTACTGGATAGAGATAGAAGCAAGCAATTTGAGAATTCTGATCCAAGTTCAAGAAATAATTTTGATGGTCCCGAATTCGATAGATCTAGATTCAGTGGTCCCGAGAGGTTTGGCCCTGGAGGATCTGCAGGTCCAGATCGGTTTGGTCCAGGTGGCCCAGATGGGTTTGGTCCTGGTGGTCCAGATAGATTTGGTATGGGAGGGACAGATAGATTTGGTATAGGAGGACCAGATAGATTTGGTACAGGAGGGCCCGACAGATTTGGTATAGGAGGACCAGACCGATTTGGCACAGGTGGACCAGACCGATTTGGCACAGGTGGACCAGACAGGTTCGGTACAGGAGGACAAGACAGGTTTGGTGCAGGAGGGCCAGATAGATTTGGGATAAGTGGGCCAGACCGATTTGGCACAGGAGGGCCAGACAGATTTGATATAGGAGTGTCAGATAGGTTCGGTTCTGGAGGTCCAAATAGATTTGGTCCTGTAGGATCTTCTGGAGGTCCAGATAGATTTGGCCCAGTAGGATCTGCTGGAGGTCCAGATAGATTTGGTCCGGTAGGATCTGCTGGAGGTCCAGATAGATTTGGGCCGGTTGGATCTTCTGGAGGGCCAGATAGATTTGGTCCAGTAGGATCTGCTGGAGGTTCAGAAAGATTTGGTCCGATTGGATCTGAAAGGTTGGGAGGTCCAGGAGGTAATGATAGATTTGGTGGTTTTGAAGCTCCTGATAGGGGTTTTGGTGGCCCCGATAGAGGATACAATGGACCTGATAGATCATTTGGACAAACTGACAGAGGTTTTGGATCTGGGCCTATAGCTAAAGGACCACCAAGTCTCTTAGGAAAGAATGTGTCCAGAATGGCAGGTTCTGGTCCTGGTTTAGGAATGGGACCAGGAGCGATGGATCCTAAAGGTCCAGGTAATTTTGGAAACAGAGGAGGGCCTCCTTTTGGAACAGATTCGTTGCCAAGAGGGGGTCCGCAAAGGCCAGGCCCAGATGATCAAAGGAATTTTCAGAGGTTGCCAGCTCCCAATTTTAATAGACCTGCTGGGAATTTCGGTGGTAGATGGTAAATTTATTTAAATATGTTTAAGTTAAACATTGTATTTTATATTATTTGATGAATTAAAATCACTTTAATTCATTATTTGTTTGATTTATCTTAAAAAAAAAAAAACATTAACAAATTACATCATCTAGATACAAAAATATTTATTTTCTACGTCCATATGGATATTAGCTTATCTACGCACAGAGTACAAAACGAAAAAGTATGCTATTGTATTCAACTGAATGAATATATTTCATATCCATTCTAGGTAGTGAGAACACTGCAAAATAATATTCGTAATTAAATTAGTTTCATATAGTTTGATTAAAATTTAATTTATTTTTCAAAATGGAACAAATAAAAATGTTATTTTTTTTTTATTTGGACAAGTCCTTTTACAATATTTACAATTTTCTTACAAATTTACAATGTGAAATCTAAAATAATTCAGATTTAAAACAATTATACATGCCTTATGTTATGTTGAGAATGGGGTGTTAATACACTGCGACCTAAAAGATCTATTGTGTCCCCTTCTGTCGCCACTGCACTAAGGAAATGTCTCAATGCCTATAGCGACCCTTCCAATCCTATTTTCTCAAGGATACATGCCTTATGGAAATAGTATAAATAAAGATAAAATGAACAAGATATGTATAGATGAATCCATGAAGAAAACAGACTAGAAAATTGTAATAAAGATGAAAAGTAGTAAAACTAGTGGAAAGAACAAATGAAAATCGTCTAGAGTAAAGCACCTAAGTGATTAAACACTTGTGTTGCGCCACTCTAAACGATATACTGTGTTGTATTACCTTAAATATAATTACTTTTATTATTTTATAATACTTTTTTTGTTATTTTAGTGCCTACCTTCATATTCTATTCTATACATTTATTTTATTTGTTAATTTTTTATTCTAGAATTTTTGCAAATTCAATATAATTCTGAAAGATAAAATTTCTAGATACAGTGGAAAAACGTTTAAATCTAGTGGTGAGCCTAATATCTAACGGTAATAAATTGCATGCTTTTGGCAAAGTATGAATAAAAAATTATGACTTATATTTTTCTAAATCTTCGGGTGGTTAGGAACTCATTAGCAGTACTGCGGGTTTGGTATACAGAGGGCAACGCTGGGAAAGATACTTTAAAAAAGTATCTAGATACAAGATACAGATACTTTCGTAAAAAGTATCTTAAGATACATTTAGAAAAAGATACTAAGTATTAAAAATATCTTAGAAACAAGATACCTCTAAAAAGTATCTAAGATGGTTTTTGAAAAAGATACTTCTAAAAGTATCAAAGATACTTTTTAGGATCTAAGATACTTCTAAAAGTATCTAAAATACTTCTAAAAGTATCTAAAATACTTATAAGGTATCTTAGATATTTTTAGTAGCTAAGATACTTATGAAATATCTGCGAAAGCCAATGCTGCAGATTTTCTTTGAAAATTGTGGTCATCAGTGAGATGCCACAACTAGAAAACTTCTTGTTTTGCTTGACACTCTACATCCTTAAGTTTAATATTGAGAATGCATATTGATTAAAGATGGTTTATTGCCGTTAAAGAAAAAGGTCCTCAGCTTATTTTTCGTAAAAACGAGGGTCTTTTACCCGGACATTTATCTATTTTTATATAAATCCGGTTCCTCTGCGACTTTTAAAAAGCGTACAAGCAAGTCTGGCAACCCTAGTAAATACAGAATACCTAGCTAATTCACAAAGAGATTTGTTCTTCTCCAAGTATACTGACAGCATGAAATCCTCTGCAATGCAACTCACCGATCAGCACATAATCGACAGGTCTGAACATGTGGCTAGACTTTGCGACCTTCGCGCAACCTAAGAACATCTATTTCACAAAGTATCTTAACTACTTTTAAAAAATATCTTAGATACTTTTGAAAAGTAACTTAGATACTTTTGAAAAGTATCTTAGATACTTATACAGTATCTTAAATACTTTTTAGTATCTAAGATACTTATAAAGTAGCTTAGATACTTAAAAATAGATACAAGATACTGATACTTTTAAAAAGTATCTTTAAATTTAGATACTTTTGCATCACATGAAAAAGTATCTAGATACAATATACTATCTTGTATCTTAGATACTGAAAAGTATCTTTTTTTCTAAGATACTCCCAGCTCTGGCAGAGGGTAAACTATTCTGGAAGAAATTGTCTTTAAAAGCATATACAGTGCAACCTCCTTATTCCGAACACCTAATTGCCAGACCTTGTTTGGATTATCGAATTGTTCGGATTAACGAATATACAATAAAACGCCTCTTACACATTTTTAGACCTTTAGATTTATGTATGTATATTGATTTTTGTACATTTAAATGCATTATCAATCTACATATGTATGTAAATGTAATGCAGGTTTTTTTCTGTCAGCATTTGGATTACAGAGGTGACGTTTGGACTATCACGATTTGCGTTCGGATTAGCGTGGGTTCGGATTATCGAGGTTGTACTGTATACATAAAGGCAGGCACCTTATTTCAGAAGAAGAGTTCAGTGCATTCCATGCATATTAAATTTCTACAGGAATCACAAGGGTGACATGGGCTTTTTATATCTTTGGTTGGTTGTTTAATCTCTTTGCATAAGAAGCACTCCATTTTATATTCATACTTTCACTAATTTACCTTTTGAAAATCTTTACTACGCCACTGGTCGAAGAAGGTAAATAAAGTCTCCGTTTGTTTTGTTGGATGACAAAAAACAAAAGGTAAAAACTTGTACTGATGAGGATTGCCCTTGTAAAAGTATATTTAAGAATAATTAATTAAACAATTTTTGCAGATTTACTAGTTTCTTCACTATATTTTTTTAATTAAACTTCACTCTTTAGGTCCATAATTGCATGTACTAATGGTTAAACAATTTTCACAATTCTTTAATAAGTATTTTCACCAAAAAACCCAATAATTCAAGGAGCAAAATGATTAGCTCTTTACAGATTGACGATCGAAGACGTGTTATTTATCGATTCTACACAAAAATAACTCATTTTAATGTATATTTAATTTCAATATCTAAAAAATAAATTCATATTTGATCCCACGAGTAGCTAGGAAAAAAAAAACAGTCCGCTACGGCAGAGCCCCGCAGGTCGTGATACTCTGGGAGATGACCCAGTGTTTCAGAGGCTCGGTTTGCAATACCTTGACCCAGGTATCATTCAGTCTTCGGCACGGGTCGCGTTACACCTTAATTTGGAGAGTTGGTTCGCGGCGGCAGTTTTCACAAATAATTTTGGGGATTTTAAGTCTCTTCACCTTATGGCTGCCACTAGCCAGATGTCCCTCTCTATCCAGCACCTGGAGACGCGCCTTCTAGGCACTCAACCATTGAAATAGAACAAAGAGGAGATACTATGACGATGCTAAAGTGTCCACATCTTTGTATTACACTTTAACGTCATATGTCAAACTGGAGCTAGACAGTTTTGGTGAGAATCACAGACATTGTATAAAGAACTAAATAGTAGTCTCACCTTATGGAAGTTTCATTGGAGCGAAATGGATACTACCAATAGATGGCGCTAGTGAATATGGATAAGTCGATATTCGTTTGCAGTGGGCGGAGTTGAGGGTCCAGCAGAAATTTTTAAGAATGAATGAGACCGATCGATAAATCTCTATTTTTAGCTCTTGGATGAAATTTTTTTACACTCGTGATTGAATGTTTGGACTATTTTCTATCTAATGTTTGTTATTGTGCGTTTGCGGGTAGTAGGTATTGTGAATGAGTTGTGTTTATGTTTCATTACTGAATTATTTTACTGTTAATAAAGGAAGAGTTCCCAAAAAAAATTTGTGTAGGTATTTATAACTGTTTTGAAATTAATAAAATAGAAAATATGCTTTTGTTTTTAGTTTCCTTTACAGGTTTTATCCGAATTAATTTAAAATAAATTATATAATAATAATAGCAATAATAATAAGTGTTGAAAAAATTGTATTTTTAATTTAAATACCTAAGTACTTAGCATAAGTAATTATAAACAACAGGTTATTTCTTTAATCTGGTGCGTAACAATATAATAAAAAAACCCTTAAGATGGTTGGTAAATAATATAAATGAATTCTTAATATTGAAGTAAACACAATGGGTTCTATAAGGATTATTGGTTGGGGTTCGGCTTTGGGGGATAGGGTCGAAATATTAAAACTAAACTTGGTATATGGATGTATTATCCCATAAAAATAAAAATCGCTTTAAAAAATTCACCCCTATCTGATATGGTAAGGGTGGCATTCCCAAAAAATTAAGTTAAAACTTTTTAAATAAAAAAGTTGAAGTCTACGATTTTTTATACATAGAAACACAAAATTCCAATTTTTTTGAAAAAAAATTTCCAAATTTTTTTTGATCTTAGAAAAAATTTCGACTTTAAACTTCATAGTTCGGATGTGGGGGCTGGCATTTAAAAATAGTTACAAATACATAAAAATCTTATTTTTGGCATATTTACAATAGAAATGATTGCAACATTTTTGTATAAATATCTTACCACCACCATCTCCTAGAGGGAGATGGAGGGTGTGGCATCCCCAAAAAATCAAGTTAGAACTTAAAAAAAAAAACAGTTAAAATCTACAATTTTTTATACATATAAACCAAAATTTCAATTTTTAAATCAATATATTAAATTAAATTATTTTTTTAATTTCTTTATTATATTTAATATTATTTCTACTTTTTCTAACAATAATCAATTTAAGATATCTACTTTGATTGAGCCAAAATATTTAGTAGGGGAAGTTTTTAATATACAAACATACTGTGTGTCCAAAAAAAATATGAATTTGGCTAAACATTAACCTTTATTTCTAAAAACAGGAGAACAATGTTACTTGAAAAATGTACCTAGAATTAATATTATCCACCATCAAATCCTGGACCTGGACACAATTTTTTTTTAGCAATACGGGAGAAACATAAGTGACATTTTTACAAATGAAATTAATTTCAACAAATTTATTTGAGATCATGTAC